CATCTCTAAAGACCATCGCATCCCCAAAGTCCATTTCATCTCTAAAGACCATCGCATCTCTAAAGACCATCGCATCCCCAAAGACCATCGCATCTCTAAAGACCATCGCATCCCCAAAGACCATCGCATCTCTAAAGACCATCGCATCTCTAAAGACCATCGCATCTCTAAAGACCATCGCATCTCTAAAGACCATCGCATCCCCAAAGACCATCGCATCTCTAAAGACCATCGCATCTCTAAAGACCATCGCATCCCCAAAGACCATCGCATCTCTAAAGACCATCGCATCTCTAAAGACCATCGCATCTCTAAAGACCATCGCATCTCTAAAGACCTATAAAGCTCTATAAACTTTTGAGACAATTAACGTTTGGTTTAAAACATTTTCAACATGCGACTCGAATGAGACACAGGAAGTGAGTCACTGTGTGTGTGTGTGTGTGTGTTTACATCTTTCCACAGCTCAGCACACAGAGGAAGGTTGGTCAGAGCTTGATGATACAGACGTCGCACCTGGAAGAGAAATAAAGTGACATAAAGAGGAAGGAGGAGAAACAGCAAAAACAAAAAACAAAGTGAGAGGTTAATAAACCAACAAACAACAACAAACTGTCAACCAAGAAGCCTGTGGGGAGGAAACCAGAGTCAGGCGCTCTGCAGAGGGTCCTCCGTCCCTCCAGGACCTGTAGGACCCTGAGGCAGTTCATTTAAATTAAACCATTAATGGACCTGACCATTGTGATTGGTCTCCTTGTACATGGAGAGAAAGTCCTAATGGGTTGCTCTCACCTATCAGGACCAAATCCCATCAGTCTTCCATCACCCTCTGAACTTAGCACATTGTACACAAAGCTACTTCTTAATATCTGCACAGCTCTCCACTTCTCATATTAATACTGCACATATTTTATTCTCCAAGTATTGTGTCATATTATACTGTTCTTAGTTTTTGGGTATATAGTTATATATTTGAATAAAAGGTCCTTCAGAGCGTCTCTCCGTCCCTGACTCACCTCAGAAGTTAGCTTCAGCTCCTTCTCCACAGCTATCGCTCTGAGAGAAACACAGATACAGTCAGGAAACACACCTCAGAGGGTTATTGATCTCACACAAAAACACACATTCATATATTTTTAGGAGCTGCTTCATGAATACTTTAAGATTACGCAGTGAAAAACCAAACATGGTTGATTCCTGCCCATGAATAGAGGATTAACAGCCATGTACACCCCTTTATGAACAGAAAACAGCTAAGGATTATAAAAGGACATTTCCACTTGTTTTCCCTGCAGTGTGAAGGTCTTCATTGGTTGGGTTCAGAACATCCTGGCTCCTTGATTTAAGCTTTGGTTTCTCATGGTCCGTGCTGGGTGTCACTCACATGTTCCAGTAGGCGAGGCACTTGGGAGAATGGCTGCTCAGCATCCGGACCTGGAACTTCAGGTGCTCCATGTTTCCATCCTGCCACTCCTGATGCAGCAACCTGAGCATCAACACAGCAACTCAGGAAGCAACAAACACCACAGAGCTGGATCCCACGGGGTCAGACCACCTCAGGTAACTAACGCCAGCTCAGAAACAACCTCAGAGAAATACGCGCACACACATCGGAGAGGGCTTCCTCTGTAAGGCTCACTGCTGGTCTACAGATGTGGAAACTAGGGACACGGATGCAGACTCATGCCTACATCCAGTTGTGCGATGGGTTTTTAACATGTTACGTATCTTCCTCTATGAGTCCCGATGAGCCTTTAAACATCCTACATTAGGGTTGTCCACATCCGACCAGAGGGTCCAATCCGTCCCGCGGCATGACTAAATGTTATAGATGTACAAGGCAGGGGGATAACCTTCCTTAATAGTTCCCTCTTTAGGTCGTATGCTGTCGTGTCAGGATTACCACACAGATGTGGAAATGAGTGTAAGATCATTTCTTGAAGTAGTTTTGATCATACTATATTGTTCAGATCCAGACACTAGTAACTGAATGTGTTTGTAGAGACTGATCTGTTGCGATGCACATGTTTAAAGATAATCTGAAGCAGAAAATGTTGTCACTTATTTTTCTTCAGAAATGTGAACATGTTAAGAATGTACATTTTTATTATGCTATGATTTTACTGGTCCGCCCCACCTGAGATTACATTTGGCTGAACGTGGCCCCTGAACTAATATGAGTTTGACTCCCCTGTCCTAGACCTGGTTCTACAGAGTGTGTGTGTGTGTGTGTGTGTGTGTGTGTGTGTGTGTACCTCAGACCCAGTTCAGTGTTGTTGGGCATGGCGTATCTTAGTCTCTCCAGAACAAGAGCATGCTGGGATTTCGGCAGACAGCGCAGGTAGAGCGTTACCACCTGAGAACCAATCAGCACAGAGCATTTCCATCAGGTAAAACCGTGTGGTCACGTTCAATATCCTTTCAGGATCTTTATGTTTCTAGAAACTAGTTTAGGTTGAACACGGTCCTCACAAAACAGGTGAGGTAGAACAGGTGAGGTAGAACAGGTGAGATGTAGAACAGGTGAGATGTAGGACAGGTGAGATGTAGGACAGGTGAGGTAGAACAGGTGAGATGTAGAACAGGTGAGATGTAGGACAGGTGAGTGTAGAACAGGTGAGATGTAGGACAGGTGAGGTAGAACAGGTGAGATGTAGAACAGGTGAGATGTAGGACAGGTGAGGTAGTGCAGGTGAGGTGTAGGACAGGTGAGATAGAACAGGTGAGACCTTGTTGTGGAAGGTGTAGCAGCTCCAGAACTCAGCGGGGTTGAAGGGGACACACAGGCGGGACGGGACGGTGCTGAGGCAGCGATGGATCAGATTTGAGAACCGTTTGGACCGATTGAGGGACACAGAGCTGAACTCCAGGTACCTGAAACAGGTGAGAGACAGAGAGACAGGTGAGCGACAGGTGAGACAGCTTCTCAGGTTTAACTGTGGTGTACAGGTGACCCCCTGTGTGCAGGTGACCCCCCCCGGTGTGCAGGTGACCCCCCCAGGCGTACAGGTGAACCCCCCCAGGTGTGCAGGTGAACCCCCCAGGTGTGCAGCTGAACCCCCCCGGTGTGCAGGTGACAACCCCCAGGCGTACAGGTGAACCCCCCTAGGCGTACAGGTGAACCCCCCCAGG